CGCGACTGGAGTCGCGTCTCGTGCAAACACCTGGCTTGCCGGCTCGTAGAAGTATACAACGTCCTTAAGCTTCGATTATCCTCCGATCAAATTCAATGGGCGTGGATGGCTTCCGAGATAGCGGAACGCGTAATGGATTGGTGTTGATATCGTATCGGTTATTGATAAAATAATTGTCGAACGCGAAGTTGCAGCGCGTTTCTGTAGAATATGCGGGGAATGTAGTTTCATGAGTGAGAATATTAAGGAGAGGAATCTTTATAACGTAGCAGAAATGATGTCTCATAACTTGGGATATTAAGTCACGTTGCTTTATATTATTATTATATGGAATTCTAAAATTAATATAATCCTTCGGTGACGCCCGAAAGTTGCAAAATATTTCTTTTGTAAGAAGTCGAGGATATTTCCAGTTGTTTTATTACAATTTTATGACAAATTAATATCGTGCGTAGCGTGCTATGCTCCACATATTATTTGATCGAACTAAAATTAGAAGAAAGAGGAGATGGAAAAGTTAGACAGGTAGAAATTTCAAAGAAGAAACAATCATCTTCGCTCGATTTATTAAAGTTTAATAAAAACAAAACACGATAGTCTAGTACAATTTATCTAAACCAGAACGAAAAGAGAAGAAGAAATAGAGAAGCTAAATTGGTGGAAATTCACGATCGACCGATATTTAGATCGGTCCGACGACTAGCGTTCGGTAAACCATGACGGCACATAGTCGCGTATAGGTATTTACGCTTTAATTACTTATTTTTTTCTCGCCGCTCCAAAAAACCACCGATGTGTAATAGAGTCTTTTGTGTGTCGAGTGCTTCTGTGTGCGCGCGTAAAGCGCAACGATCGTACGTCAAAGCCGGCAGTGAATCTCCGCGAGTCGCAGAGCGCGGACGTTACACCGCGGCGAAGCCACGTGAATACGCTACGGTAGTGCAGCAACGAGCTCCTTCGATCTTCTTTACATTTTTCCGCGTCTAACTCGCGCGTTTCACCACGTGGCTGTCGAATTCGTTACAATTTTCGAAAAAAAAAAAAAAAAAAAAAAA